AGTGTTCCAATCTTCTCAAAGAAATCTTCTTTTATTATTTGATATTGTAGCAGATTTTCTTTTTCTTTTTTATAATATCTTCTAAATAAATTTTATTTATATGACTGCTTGTATTTATCTTTATTGCCATGTATGTTATATCAAATATAATTAGCATAATGATAAAATTAGCTCCCAACGTTTACATGGATGATCACTTTGTCTCCTATTCTTTTTTTTAGCATTTCAACTCCTAATGTTTCAATTTTTTGTTAAAATAACTAATATTGGATGAAAAATGTTAATTTACTAATGGTCAATACATGTTGCTGACGTGATATTTTTGTATGTATTTAATTGATGATGTTATATGTGAAATGCGAACATTTCGATATCAATCTTGTCGAGAAAGACATTGGTGATGGGCAGTAATTAGCTGTTGGAGACGGTAGGAAAGTACAATGCCAAATAAGTAAACATTTTAAAGATTTTATGACAAAATTGATACACCGCTAAAGTTTAATGTCTAAAACGACGTTGTTTTGGATATTAATAGTTGTCGACAAATCGATGTTCTTTTGTCTACGTCATAAAAATGACCTAAATATATGTTCATATCACCGTACCGTTAAAATTTAACAACTTAGTGATATAATTAAAAAGATAATCAAAGTTTAGTGTTATAATGAATAAAATTAAAATTCAATAATATAAACGATATAATGCCTAAAACACAATAGTATTTAATATAATTTACCCTTATTATCACGTAAAATATATAACAAATATAATTTGTGATACTAGAAAACTCACGTTTATTTAACAGGAACACCGAATCTTGTAATCCATATCCCTACCCACTCCACCACCAAGAAGGCATATCATAATTTGTGACGTAATGCTGATATCCATTGTTTATCCTTGTGTGTTTTTGCTTCCCTCGGGAAACTTGTGATTCCAACTGGTTCGTAATGCTGATATCCATTGCACCATTCAGTTTGCTCTAATCTAAGCCACACAGTACCTTTGGGTCTACTGCCACCGCTGTTGCCAAGGTGGTAGTAAGTAAACAGTCTCAATCTGTGATCTAAATGCGTGGATTCTAAGCCATTTCTTTTACCAAAATTCTCACACCTCCCTCCTCACTTCCTGTGGATATCATTCAAGGGACCTTCGAGCTTGATCAGATAATCCGACCCTTGAACAGATTTAATCACATCATTAAATGTCAATCACCGATGTTCAATCTATCGAACTGGTGCGTTGGATTCAGCACGAACGATCTCATCCTACTCTAAAAACTTACAACATAGGAGGAAAATGCCATTTTACTATAGTACCAATGAAGGAGAAAATGATTGCAAACAGTTGAATCCTTAAAAAATGTAAAATCACAGCTACCTTTTAACCAACCACAATCACATTAGGGTCTATTTAGATTCTGCTAGATTTGACAAATAAAACACGACAAAACAACGTGCAAAACGAGCCAACGTGAAACAAAACTGTACAAACAATCACTTATTACTCAACCGGTTCCACCGGACCATGCAAAGACAATGCTCAGCCACTTATAGCCTTTGAGCCATTGTTTTCAACAGTATCTGATCTTTCCCTATATAAACAATACCTGCTTACTTTGATCTTTGCTAAATAAAACTTGTCTAATGGCTAAATGGGAAGGTAAGGCCCATGCAAAGCTCGCAGGGTGCGCAGCTGAGCAAGTTTGGCCTCTCTTACAAGACTTTTTCGGGTTAGACAAATGGTTCCCGACTCTCACCACTTGCCTTCCCGTCGAAGGTGTGTCGGGACAGCCGGGGTGTGTTCGTTTCTGCGCCGGCTTCAAAACTCCAGTCGACAGTAGTGATAAAGGAGCTATGAACTGGACTAAGCAAAAACTACTGTCCATTGATCCTAATGAGATGGTGTTTAGTTATTCCATTGAAGAAGGAAATGTCGGTTTTGATTCGTATGTGGCGACGGTGAAAGTGTTGCCGGAGGAACTAGGGTGTGCCATCGAGTGGAAGTACGAAGTCAAGCCTGTCGAAGGATGGAGACTTGAGGATTTGGATTTCTTCATCGGTTCTGGTTTACAAGTTATGGCTCGGAGAATGGAAGCAGCACTCCAACTTTTTCAAGCTTCAATAGATCAATAAGATCATTGTCTCTTTCTTTATGATCATTTCTTACTAGAAGAAATGTAATGGAGAAATTAAGAATTAGCCAAGCATTTTGATTGGACCAAACTAAATTTAATATGAACTTGTTGCCAAGCAATATAGGATAATTATATATTATTCCATATGTTTGTGTATGTACTCAAGTTTAGAGAAATAGAAACATAAGCACTTTGGTATTTTTGTGTGTTACTTCTATTTAGGCGTAATGATAGAAAAATTATTTGATAAAAATAGTCACTTTGATTTGATACCTATTTTTTTTATAGTATTTTAACTATCAATGTTTTATTTTGATATAAAATACCATTGATTAGATGAAAACTTGTCAGAACTTGTCGTTGACGGATAAATCTTATGTTTTTAAAGTGATGATATGACATGTAACGTTTATATAAGTGATAACAAGACACATATTACGTGTACAGTAATAATGACACGACAAATATCTTGTATACATAAATTATGATGTGACACATACTATATGTACTTAAATGATGATGTGTTAAATATTATATCATCATTTTAGGTATAAAACTTGCTACATCAGTGAAAATGTTGTTCCTTAATCAATTAACAGTTTTTACCCAAGTGACATTTTGTCATAAAATAAAACAGTAAGACTAAAGTGCTTATAAAAGTAAATAGAAATCAGGATAATTATTTTATCGTACAATTAGAGATGAACTTCAATATTATACCTTCTATTTAATTTCTTTAATTTGTAATTTGTTCTCGTTATTTTACCCAATTTCTTTTAACATTTTACATATACAAAGGCAGCTATATGGCTCACATGAATCAGATTATAGTATCATTTGACTGTTCTTTTTAGGCAAAACGCACGAGATATTGCTGTGAAAAAAAATAATTCACGTGATAATGCTGTCCAAAAAATAATTGTTCAAATGGTGTGAATTATACAATGCATGGATTGGTCGCCATGCAAGCCAAACGAGATCATTGGTCGCCATACACTCGGTGCGACTTTGTAGGTCGCCATGCAAGCGGCTCGAACTCCTCCGTGATTCTGCTGAAATCACGACAAAGGCGGCTCTGCCTCCCTCACCCCTGTCTCCCTCATGCATGCAGCAATGAAATCACGACAAAAGTGTTCTATATGAGCTGTGGCGAGAGGATGAAGCTTTGCTACAAGCTGTGGTGAGAGGATGAAGCTTTACATGCGCTATGCACGCCGGAAGAGGTTGCCTGAATGCAGTGGGGAGCAGGCGAGCATGCAGCGGGAAGCAAGGCGCAGGACAAGGTCTCCCAGCGTGCAAGGCGCAGGAAAAGGTCTCCCAACGTGCATGGCGACCTACAAGGTCGCCCGGAGGGCATGGCGACCTATGCTGGGAAGCTGCCACGCCGTAGGTCGCCTGGACACTGTGCAATTCGCCCTATTTGAGCAATTAATCTTGGGAGTATGTTATATCTTTAAATAAAAATTCGAGAACGTTATCTCGAAAGTTTTGCCGTTCTTTTTACTATAGAAAATTAAAAAGGAAAAAAAAGTAGGAGAAATTAATGTTAGAGGGTGTTTGGATAGGGGAATGTGGGATTCCCATGGGAATGGAATTCATATTCCCCGTTTGGCTAGCCCGGAAATCTCATTTCCGGTAATGTAAGATTACCAATAGTAGATTTTTTTGGGTATATTACCGGGAATGTTATTACCTCAGTATTGTTGGATTACTGGCGTTTTGGACTAAAATGCCCTTAATTTTTCTTTCTTTCAAAAATATCATTCTTCTGTAATTGAATAATAAAAATTCTACGAAGGTTAAATTACAAATTTATCCTTAAACTATTTTAGATTTACAAAAAAAAAATTTATAATTAAAATTTTATATGAAATTCAGGGGTTAAAATAAAATTTTACCCTTTCATTAAACCTTTTTATATTTTCAATTTTGTAAAAAAAATTATATAAATTTTATGAATTTAAATTTTTTAAAGAAAATATATAAATATTTTTCAACTTGTTAAAAAAGAAAATATATAATAAGGATAATTTGGTCAAATATACATTCCAATAATCTTTTATTCCTTTAACCAAACACGATAATCTTACATTCCTGCTAAGCCAACCAAACACAAAATACAACATTCTCAGTAATCTTATTTCCTGGTAATCTTACATTACTATTGATAATCTTACATTCCATGAACCAAACGCACCCTTAGAGTTTCTTGGACAATTGGTAAGTCTTCTTAAGGAACTTAGCTGCAATTTCATCATTCCTATAACACAAAACTCGCAAAACTGTGTGGGGTTCAGTCGGACCCCGCTGACCGGTGGTGGGTGGCAATGGAAGCTTGGACTTGTTAGAAGAAAAACAACTCTCGAGTGTTAAATTCCTGAATTTCTCAATCAGGCTCTCTGTATCGGTTTGAAACAAGGGCAGAAACTCTTCCCAACTCAGCCGGGAGTCCATCGCCATTAGACCAAAACAAATCAGTCAAACACCTAAAATCCTCGTCGATGGTCTCGTAATCCTGCAGTGTGAAAGCACGAGCAGGGCCTCCGGCAAGTAAAACCAGCAAGAAACCATCGAAACAAACCTTCATCACTTGAGAGATAACCGGTGTTCTAACCTTGTGATGCACGGTTAATGAAATGACCTTCAAACGGAGGTCGAGCTCTTGAAGAAAAGGATCAATTCTTGAAGATGAAACTTCCCCAACATACAAACCATCCCAGAAGAGATGACTTAGGTCATGGAAGATGACTTTGTTTTCCGTTGCTTCACATAGCTGTTGGATCCCTTCTTCATATGCAGCAGCTGAGACTCTAAACGCTTTCTCCATCCCATTGGAAATATCATGAATTTCCCTTTTCGCCAATCAATCCAACTCACTTTGAAGATACTGCAGTGTGTTGATTCGACAGCACATTTGGGGTGTTCCGAAGGAGTCATTGTCATTGGCAGTTGCAGTTGCAGTTCCAGCCCGAGGCTTCTTATGAGCTTTTTCTTTTCTCTTGAACACAATAGGAAGCTTGGAGCGTTGAGAACATCTAGTCAAAGGCGGCATCGTGGGTACATAACTACTGCTCTCTCTGTATCACAACATGGTGTCAGTTTCTTGTAAATGCATCACCGAGAGGGTGTTTGTTTATTTCTAAAAGTGTTGTAGTATGATATTTGATGATCTAATTCCGAACTTTTTAAATTTATAATATAATTTTCTAAATTTATACTCTTAACATAAAATCATGCCTATGTTCTATTACTCTTGTTTAGATGATACGTACCACAGCCGGACTTTGTCATGGAAATGTAATATTGAAGATAGGCGTTAATCCCAGTGGCTAAATCGGGAAGCAAAGCAGAATGTATAGTTATTGGTAACATGAAGAATGCTTCAAAAGCTTCATCTACAATACGCAACAATTCAACTGCAGATAGTGCAAAACGCTCCCTAGTCGCCTTTGGATCCCATGCCTACAAAGAGATGAAAAAAATTTCACAATGCAAAAGCAGTGGAAAAGGTAAGCAGTGGAAGAGATTGTCAAATTACGGCTTTAATCCCTCTACTGTGTTTTAATTTAGTCATTATCACGGACAAAACTAGGATTAGATAATGGGAGGATAAGTTATCTAACTTCAAAGTTAATAGGATCTAATAAACATTTAATCATGATCCCATCAAGTGGCAGAAGTGGTTAACGAAAATGTTGGTCTTCTTAGAGATCTTTAGTGGCATCGAAGTATTAAGCTAACAAACAGTGGCGGAAATATGTGTATGGCTACCTTGAAATTCGAATTTTTTTATATTAGTTGTTCTTTTTTATGGTGTCCACCCTAAAATTTTATTTTTGTGTCTACCCCATACAAAAAATTTCTATTATTAATACATGGGTGCTCACCTTGAAAAACATTTATAGATTCGTCACACCAAAAACAAAAACTAAAAATGAGTGGGGGAACTCAAATCAATGACTAATGTAGACCAAAAAAGGGTTTGAGGACTAAAAGTTATTTTATTCTTTATTTTTAACTCATGATAACGTAAAAGTAGAGGGATAAAATTATGTCAAATTAAAGTACCGTGAATAAATATAAAATCCTAGCACAGAAAAGGGATGAAAGCCACAATTCAACCCATATTACCTCTTGTTGCGGGTTCCTATGAACCCATTCCTTCAATCTATCAGTTCTGGAGGTTATCCATGATTTAACCAGATCAGAAGTGACAGATTCAGACTCATAAGGAAGCGTCTCCCTTATGATTGACTTCCCACCATCTTCACAATCCACTGAATTCTCAACTGCCATTTGCACCAAATCTTTCTCCAATTTGTATGCACTTTTTAGCACTAGTAAAATATCCGGCGACAGTTCGTCGATGCAAGAAACGTATTGTTTGAGCTCATTCCCATAGAAGGAATGGAGGGTGGCCACTGCTACGGCGGCTGCAAGTGGATGCCACCGTTTTAGTATCGGATTGAATAGTTCCTTCTCGTTAAAAGCCAGTTTACTCACTTCCTCTGCAAGTTTGGCCATGAAAGGAATCTCGTCGTGATGGTGCTTTGATGGAGACTTGCTCGACTTTTCCTACTCCAATACCTGCCAAAATATATATCACTTGAAAAAAGCATGAGTCATCTTTCAGATATAACATTGGTAAAATAATGAAATCCACCCCCTATTTGAATTTTTACTTGTCAGAGTCGATATTAGCTGCCGACAACTTTGATTTAGTTACATTTGCTTTGCATCATAAGGACCAAATTAGAAGAGAATTAAATCTATAAGAATCAAAATTTAAAATTTTAAAGTAAAATTACACGTATTAAATTTTCATAAATAATGATATTTCTAAAATTTCTAATAAAAACCAAAATCACCTCAATTGAACATAAAAACATAGGAGTATGACCTTTCAAAGTTTTACACTACTTATAACTCAACCAGCAACCTGATTAAATGCCTTCTACGCATCTTTTTCACTTGAATATCATATATTTTTTATTTTATTTTTATCTTTATAATTTTAATGACATTTATTACGAAAAAATTAAATTAAATTAAAGTCATCAATCATTACCATCAACTCAGGTAATATTATCAAGATATGTAGACGATTTAAACTCGCACAACATATAACGATTTTAAAACTGTCAAATCTAAAACCAACTTTATTGATTATACCTTAAATATTTCTTTTCGGATTAATATTTACCTTAAATCAACATAGAATGATATAGGAGACTTGTTACCTTATGTTGCTCGTTCATAGAATAAGCTCAAATATTGGGAACTTGCCTGCGCAAAAGCAGCACGCAACGATGACTTTATGTACCCATCAACTCTCTCATAACCCACATAGTTTCCGTTTCCTTCAACATGATCTTCTTCTTCCATTATCTTTGCCGATTGAACCGCCATGGAAACAACAGATGCCATCGACTCAGTATTATCACTACGAAAACAACTGTGGTAATCAACAAGCCTTTCACGGAGCCGCTTTCTTCGATTCCGATACGTTATTATTAGACGTTTCACTGACGGAACTCAGACATGCTCCAACCATAATCTCGTAAGCCGTCTCACGGAGCTCGAGTCTGATAAATCAGTCGCCAACTCCCCGAAGGGACACGAAAGCGTTTCAGTATAGTCATTACGCATTGCCCTCGCTACCTTTATCATCGTCGCCCCTGCCACCGTTGTCGTTTTATGATAATGCTAACGTCGTTTGACTTTCCTGGAAGTTCTTTTCCTTAATGTACACAACAAGTTAATTAAATCAGAAAAAAAAGGGTAAGAATAAATTAAACTCGACATGTTCATTGAAGGTTTTATAGAGGGTGATTAGTGATTAATGCACTGTGTTTTTCTCTTTGTTTTCTCTTTTTTCCTTTTGGATCGATGGAAAATCTTGAATTTAAAGGAAACGAAATGAAAGTTCCGGGAATTTCATCAAACAGATTTTCGGTATATGGTTTCTTCTCTTACGAAAGAGGTTTGTTTAATGGATATGAAATGATGTGATGTACTCTCTGGCGTGGATTTTCTGACATTTTCTCAATGGTTTAATTATGATTTTAATCCCTCTATTATGTTAAAATTTAATCCTTATTCGGCAAAATTGGTAATTCCTTTTTTATAAAATGTCTCAAATTGATAACGCGATATTCTAATACAGAGCCAGAGCCAGAAATGTCTAACCCTCAATAAAGTAATTTATTAATCAAATTCTTAACTTTGTTAAAAAAAACTTAGATGGTGTTAGCAATTCGGATCTACTCATAACATTATAAAAAGAAGAAATTAAGCTATGTCAAATTAAGGTATTAAGACTAAATTTCATATTTTAACATTATTGATGGACTAAAACTATAATTAGACCTTTCTAGCTCTAGAGTTATTTTCCTTAGTGAACAAGAAATCAAAAGCTTCTTTTACATTTAGCTCCGTAAATTCAATTGAATATATGTACTCCAAATGTGGAATCGCTTTCCTTTTAATATGTTTCGTCCTTGTAATGCCATCATTTAATCGATGAACAATGAGGCTCAATTTTTTATTTTTCACTTCAACATAATTTAATCAATATTAACTTATGAAATTTATTACTTTTAAGGTTGTGGCCACCATAGACTAAGGTGGTGTTTGTTTTCACTGTTTAAGGTCTTCAAAACTTTTATATCTGCACCGCGCAGACCACGCGCAGACATTGGGCTTCGCAGACAGTTTGTTTTTTAGAAGACATAAGCTCTTCTAACGTCTGTGTGTCCTCTTCTTGTCGCAGACGTGGACTTATGTCTTCAAAGCTCTTCTAACCTCTTCAAAAAACCATTTTTGCTATTAATTTTTTAAAAATTATAAAATGTTATTAAATTTAATGAATTATTATAAAATAGTCATTATAATGTTGTAATAAATTATAAAAGTTCGATAATATAATAATTATTTTATAGTATTTAGATAAATTTGTTAATAATTTTATAATCTTTTAATAAATTTAATAAGAATTTTATAATTTTTTAAACTTTATTGACGAAAATGATCATTTGTTTATAACTCAACGATATCTAATATATTTTATTTGAAAAAATATATTAAACTTAGTAAAAATATTATACAATTAAACTTAGTAAACTTTTTTTTATATATAAAAACTTCGAAAATCACGGGGACATACAATTATTAGCATTAAAAGACAAAATAAATGTTTTAATAAAAAAATATTCACACTATTTAAAAATATGATTCTTATAATTTAATTCTGGTAAAGTACGAAAGTCCCTTTATACAGAATTAATAAATAAAAAACAAATAATATATTTTTTCTAAATAGAAAAATACTAATTGATGTATATTATATGGAGTATATATTATATATTTTTTTATGTTACTAGAATCGGATTGTACCACTCGAATAAATTAAGATGATTTAAATGATATTATAACATCGAGTATTGATATATTTGTGAATCGAAAATAATTGAGAATTAAAATATAATTTTTTTAACAATTACTTAAACTGAAACAAACATATTGAATTAAAATCAAATTGATTTCATTATCGATTGATTTAATAATAATTTTTAAAATGATGTATAATATTAAAACCAAAATCTAATAGTCCGTAGATGTAATAATTTATAATAATAAAATTCGTATAATATTTATTTAATATATTTTTTCAAATAAAGTATATTAGATATCGTTGAGTTATATACAAATGATCATTTTCATCAATAAAGTTTAAAAAATTATAAAATACTTTTTAAATTTATTAAAAGATTATAAAATTATTAATAAATTTATCTAAATACTCTAAAATAATTATTATATTATCGAAATTTTATAATTTATTACAACATTATAGTGACTATTTTGTAATAATTCATTAAATTTAATGACATTTTATAATTTTTAAAAAAGTAATAGCAAAAATGGTTATTTGAGTATAGTTTAAAAAATCACTTTATTTATATTTCAGTTTATTTTAGCAATTTGCAGACGTTAAAAAACAAACATTCTTTTTCTTGCAGACTGCAGACTTTTGATTCACCTCTTCTGCTGCAGATGTGGTCCGCAGACTGCAGACCTTTTACCTCTGCAAAAACAAACACCACCTAACATTCAATGCCACGTCCACATTCACGCTATGTTCATCTTTTATTTTTTTTCCTTTCATTCGATTATATTTTATAAAATTCATTTAAATTTGATCAACCTTTTAATGTTCTAATCTTTTTCGATGATTATCTTATAAATCTAATTTTCAAATTTATTGTTCACATTCTTGAAAGAATACCTTTCATCATTTAGATTTTTCAACAAACACTCCAAACTTTTCAAATTCAATAAATCTTACAAATCTCCAAAATGATGACTTTTATGTTTAATTCCATGAGTATTTAAAACAAAATTCTAAACTAATAAAGTGGTAGAAGATAATGAGATAAATTTATCTATATCTATTTAGTGTAGTCACAAGAGACGTCGAGAATGATGATTTTCGACAACAACTAAAATGAGTTTTTTTAAAAAAAGAAAAAACTAATTTTGTTAAAGAATATAAGTTAAAAAAAATAACTTTCACATCAACATCAAACTACCACGTCATCAAATGATTAATGATTTGATTGTTTAATGTATTAATTGAATTGTACTAAAATTTAATTTTAAAATTGATACATAACTTAAAATTTAGTGAATAATGATGTAAGTGGCCCCTTTTTTTCAATCCAAAAGAGAAAATCGTTTAAAGTTTCAAAGTTTCTAATGGGTTCTAAAGTTATGAATGGGCTTGTTTGCAAGGGTCAATACAGCTTAGCTAACCCAAAGTTTTGGATCTTCACCCACTCTTTGAGGACAAACAATGTACAAACCACTCTTTGTTTCACGTTTAACAATTTCTTATTGTCACAAAACGATTTCATTAAGGGATTTATTGTTGTTCTTGAAGTCTTGAATTCGAGCACCGTGTATGTATGAGTATGAGTTTTTTATTTACAAATTGTTTGGAGTTTTTGAACAAATATTACCTTATATTCACTATATATTAAACCATATCTTCGTGGCTCTTGCGTTAATGTAGGATTACTGACATTGCAACTCTTTGATTATAAATAGGGATAGGCATAGAACTTGAATTCAATGGCCTTGATTCTATAGAATTGAATTTTCTTTTAAAAGTTTAGGTTTATATTTGGATTTATTAATAAAAAAGTATAAAATAGTGTTCATAAAGGATATATATGACACGTTTTGACATGCATTAACACGAACACAAAATGTGTCGAAGGAATATGATAAGGTAGCAATCATGTGCATGTGTAAACCTTAACCCTAATTACTCAATGACAAAAGAAAATATAAAGGTTGTATTTATATACTCGCAATAACTTATATGCAATCAATGTGAGATTTCTCGCTTTGCATTACCAACATACACAGCTAGTAGTGCATTTCATGACTAAAAAATGATAGATTACATTTATCATTTTCGATTGATCAAGTGACCCAAATAAACTAACTCTACAACACTTATCGAATTCGTAATTATTACTCTAATAATTATATTTTCCTACAAGTACTCTTTTATCTTCAATTGAATCCTAGATATTTGTCGATCATGTTAACCCAAACATAAACA